ATCACAGAGGTAAAGTAGGAATCACACATGCAAACACACATACTTATATAAACCAAACATTAATTTCTGTGGAAAGATAAGTGACAGTCAATATTTAATGAGCCTGAAAGGAGCACATTTTCAGTGAAGGTTTAGGAAGGTCTGGCACATCACAAACACAGTCTTGTGTTGCCCAAAAGCCCCAAAGATCCCTTGCTTTGGCTCTTATAACCAGCACCCTGTCTGCCTTTCTCCTCAGGCCAACCCTTACTGCCGCTGTCTTTAGATCTGTACTCTCTCCAGTCCCCACGTCTCTGTGTGGGGTCCAGCTTGCCAGCAGGCACCCACTGCTCCTCCCTCAGCTAGCTGTTCATGGCACAGTCCAGGGTCTCAGTGAACACTTGATGAAAATGTCATTGACGATGGTTGGTGGCAAACAAGAGAGCCTGATTTGTCCCCAGCCCTAAAGGATTTATCTCTAGTCAGTCAGGAAAACAGGTTTGGGGATAACTGACAGCTCACAAAGGGCCCAGCAGTGGCCCTCTTTCATTGGCTGTGACCCAGCTACCATAATCCTCTTAAACACCAGAGTGGATGGGGGCGGGGAGAGGGAGTGGAGGAGCTGCTGCCTGCCAGGTGGGTCCTGCCTCTAGGGCAGCACCAACTCCTCAGCTCAGTGACTCAGCTTACCCAGGTTGTCTGCCCTGCTACCCTGCAAGTTCGACTCACAACAGATTCCTCCCCAAACGTTGCTCTCTCTCTCTCTACAGCACCTTGCAAAGTGCTTTTCCTCCTTGTCACTTCACTATTTTCTTCCATGTTTTCTCTACCAGTGAATTCTGCTCTGTGCTGGAAGGCTGCACATTTTCATGAGCTCTCACTGAGACGCTCAGACTCTCCTTTAGGAGACCGTCAGTGTTAACCCACCAGAGCAAGTGTCTGCCCCCGCATCCTGGTTGAGTGTCCCCTTCATACTGGTGGGTGAAGCTCTTGCTTTTTAAAAGCTATCTTTGTGCCTTCAGGATAAATGAGTTTTTCATCAAGACACCCCAAGTTTGGGATTATGAGGAGTCGTGTCATTCATGATTCGTAACTGAGGTGATTTGGTTCTTCCTGCCCTAGACATTTGCAGTGACTGGAAGCACATTTGGTTGTCTGCCCTGAAAGGGCAGTCTGATGATAAGATTTGAGAGAGGAGGATACCAGAGGTAGGTGGGGGCTGTGTCTTCCATTTAATCCAAAATCTTTTCATCTACCAGTCATTCTACATTTGACCCATTTTTTTCTTTGTATTGGTATTTAATTGGAAATAGCTTCTGTTTGGTTAGTATATCTATGTAGTCTTCCAGGGAAAATAAACTGTCATTTTTGAAAAATACAATGGATTAGTAATTCTCTAATCCATTTGCAACTTTCATTCTCCTCTCATGCTACAGCCAGTAGCATGAATGGAACTTTATCCACCTGCTGCATTCTTTCTATAAGCACAGAGTGAAATAAAAAAATCAGTGAGACTATTAATCTTAAATTTGCTAACAGTACTGAAGAAGTCGCAGTTTCCTGTGAAAATTGGAAAAATAAACTACCATTGTCGTCATCTTAAAGACATTAAGGTTGCAAGTTTGAGGAAATACAGTTATATAGGCTAATAGTTTTGTCAAATGCATTCCTTAAAACAAATGAAATGGGGCTCTCGTTGGTGGCACAATGGATTAAAGCACCGCACTGTGAAGCTGGTGCTTCTTCAGTAGGAGTTTGATCTCTGGTCAGGGAGCTGACCCACATGGCACAACAGACCTCTCCTGTCTCCCTACTGCTCCCCAAAGCAGTGTACTTCGTGGATCTGCCTGTTCTCCTCCCCACTCCGTCACTGGTGAATCCTCTCACAGCCCCTGCACCTCTGGTCTGTGCCCCAATTCTGTATGCATTATTAAACAAATCTTTTTTAAAAAAATGAAACAGACATTTCTAAACAAATAATTAGCATCCAAAAACCAAGAAAGAGAAGAGTGGACAACTCGCCACCACAGAGTATCACCCAACCCCAAAGTCAGTAGCCCAGAGTTGAAGAACCCTATTCCATGTTTGTTATGAATTGCTTGAACCCCAGAAAGAACTGAACTTTCCAGTTAGCTCATCAGGCCAAGACTGAATTAGAATTTACCATCTGCTTACTCTCAGACTAATTTAATCTTAAAGTGATAAATCTTAATTTAAATTATGTATTAATAATATAATTTAAATAATACAATATTATTATTACAGTATCACAATTCTTAAGAGTTGTATGTTCACTATCTCTATAAAATAACTACCATAAACAACAGCCCTTCTGCTTACACTATAATGTTCTCAGATTGTCTAAATTGGGATCATTGCTTTTGCTCCTGGCAGTTATTTTTTCACATATCTAAATTCTTATGCGCTGGTTTTCTGAAGTCTTTGTTTTCATATTTCAGTAAAATTAGTTCCAACTGCAGCTGCAAAGACTCCTGAACGGTCACCTCAGTCTACTGAGAAGGCACACGGTGTGCCAAACCACTTTTCTTGTGCCAGAGAAATATTTTAAAGTACCTATCTAATGACTCAGACCTGAGGCAATGGAAGAAAACTTAGAAGATTGTTACTAACCTTATTAAAATCTACCTCCCACTTGTTCCGCAGCTTGATGCCAACAGCTCTGGATGTCGAGCTATCTTACAATTAATAACTTCCCTCTGAACAGGGTAGAGTCCAGTCAAGGAAAAGTCCCTCCCTCCGTTTCAGGGGCCACAGGGAAAAACCCCACATCATCCTCTTATCACTGAACTACGGGTGAGTACATGTTCCTTTTCAAGGCTGACCATTTTGATTGCTTGGATGCTCTCTGCCTGTCAGTGTGGCATGGCATTTTTGAAGAAAATCACTGTGAGGTTTTCATATGCTGAGTGCAGTGGCTGAGGCAGATGAAAACCTGTTCTGAGAACCAAGCAGGAACTGATGTCGATACAGGGCAGTGGGTCACTGGAAACTTGCACAATGGATTGCAGATGAGATGCAGATGCCCAGGGTCAATGTGATTTTCAGGAACATAGGAAATAATATTTTAGTATAGGTGTGTTCTAAGCAGGATGGGGAACATGCTTATATGGAAAAGTAACCTCTTTATCTGAAATTTATAAGTAAGTGATTGTCCTATATTTTATCTGCTGTCTGGAAACCCTATTTGTGTATATTTCCCTGTCTTCCACACTCAAATTAGCCTTGTAAACCTCTGGGGCTTTATACCTGCTATTTGTATCTCATGCTATAAAGTATTTTCCATACTTTGTTTTCTCTTTCATTATTTTTGCGTTATATCAGTTTCTCCCACTGACATTGTGTCCTGGAAACAGGACCTTCATTTTCTGTTTAAAATTCTCTTAGTCAGGCACAGGTCTTGGTACATAGTAAGCACTCAAGAAATAACTTTTTAAAAAAATATATTTATGTATGTATACAAGAGATATAGGGGTGACAGGATTCAGCAGAGACAAGACTGGGGAACAGAATAGACAGATGCACTGAAATATACTGTGAGGGGACAGTGAGCAGGGCAGGAGAGGTCTGCTGTGCCATGCAGTTCACCTCCCTGGCCAGGGATCAAACTTGGGCTGCAGTGGCTGTGAAAGCTTCGTAGTGCTGTGCTTTAATCCCTTGCACCACCAGGGCGGCCAAAACAACAAAGCTTCTTAAATAAAAATCTTGAACCAGATAAAAGGAGTAAAACTCCAACCACTCTCCTTGGGGGAAGCATCCTCAGCAATTTTCCTCAGCAAACACAATTCTTTTCATGCCTCAGATCAGAGCAAGTCACAATGTGCCCATCTCCCCATTGGCAATTGCCAATGACATTTTTTTCACACACCCTGGATGGGTGGTATGTCCTGCAACCTGTGAATGTGATCTTATTGGGGAAAAGGGTCCTTGCAAATGTGATTCAGTTAGGGAACTTGAGATATGTGGAAAAACTATAGAGTCACAGCCAGGTATACCTGTGGATATGGCCAGGTCACAATGAACCAAGCACTGAACACACTCCTGCAAACAAGACCTGAAAACAAGCCTTGAGGTGACGTCACCATCGGCCAGAAACAGGATGAACTTTAAGCAAACTCATTGGTTCTCCCTAGACCCATCATCTGGACACAAAGTTGTCCTTCCTACTGTGGGCAGTGATGGTTAATATTCCTCGAAAAACCTCACAAGGTATCACTTACCTTTACAGTGTTGCCTTCATTTAATAATGTGTAACTGTCTTAATTATGAGCACTGTTTACATGAGTTAATGACACACACAGATTTCACAGACAATTAGCAAAAGGTCAAAATAAGATCTATGGTGAAATGTTAAATTTACATCATGTTTAGCATGCTTTCTGTATTGTCTAGTGCTGAGAAATAAAAACCCTGGAAAAATAAAGGTTGACACTGAAGCCCGTAGCTCAGTCCCTCACTCAAGACTGAGTTCTTTTCGCTTCCCAGGTCCATGATCCCCGAGATCGACAAGATGGGCTTGGGTTATCCAGATAGACCCCCCATCCAAAGACCAGTATCCTTATAGCAGAGGAGAAACACGAATGAGTGAAATGAAGATTGAGGTAGAGACTAAAGCAATGAGGTCATCAGGGAAGAGAAATGAAGATGCAAAAAGCTACCGGAAGCCGGAAGAAGCAGGGAGAGGTTCCTCCTGTGTCTCTCCTAGCAAGCAAGTCAGACACCACCTTTGGATTTGTGGTCTCCAAAAGTGGAGAGAATACATTTTGTGGCTTAAACAACACTGTAGCAGTGATTGGATAGAGGGGGGAAATAGCATGTACCCTCTACCACAGAATTCTTTTGAAGGAAATCCTAGAATGTATATCAGAAATTTAGTATGTTGATCTCTTTAGAAAGTTCATGAAAGAATTCCAAGAAAGACGGGATAGAAAAAGATTGAAAGTGTAACTTCCTATTAAATTCTCACAAAAAAAGAATGAATTACACCTAAGTATGTTATTGGAAGTTTATTATTTGTCACTAAAACATTGGAATACTTTATTCATCTCACACTGGGCAGGAACTACAGTATGCAAATCACTTCTGCATTACTAGAAATCTTCAGAAGATTGGTCCTCAATGTGCTAGGTGACTATGCCTGCTTTATTGGATGTTGAAAATCCTCTTTGCTTCTTCTAAAGCTTTCGCATCTACGGGAGGCTTCCTCTGACTGCCAGGCTGCAGAAACTTCTTCACATTCGGGAGGCTGCTGACTCTGGCTTTCAGGGCCTGCAATGCACAAGAGCACAGACTCAGAGAGGAGCCAACCCCTGCCTGTTATTAGCACAGGCCAGGACCTCTGAGACCCTCCCCTCCATCAGCACCACCAGGAGTTGGCAAGCAGACACCAGTGAGAAAAGAAGATCAGAGGGGAAACTCCAGCTCCACCCTCATTCCCTGAAGATGACTTGGTTTCAGCCTATTCAGCTCACATCCTTCCCATCTCCTTCCCTGCATGGAAACCGTGTGGACTCTACCTCTTACGCAATACAAAGAAGGGTGGTGTGTCTGTGAGAATCCACACAGATAAAGTCTCCACAGAGGAATAATGAGGAAGACTGGGCTGACACAAACACAGAAAATGTAAAGGGAGACCTTGGGAACTGTGCCAGGAACCAGGACAGAAACCCTCTTGGAATAGAGACCTGGGAGGGAGAGGTTGATCCTGGGCTCTTTTTGTAAAATCCCAGTCTCCTTGGGGAAATATCACAGCAACTTTCTCAGCAAACACAATTCTTAACATGTCTCAGATCAGAGACAAAGAGCAGGCTGGGAAGCCTGGGTCAGAGTGAAGGCCGGGACTGTGCTGGGGAGTTTTGATCACCAGGCCATGAGTCCAGATCTTAGATTCCAAGATGGGAGGTATGAGCCTTCCCTCTGACAACTGTGGCAGACATCACCTTCAGCAGAGGAAAGTTGTCCAGAAGACTGGGGTCAATTTCTTCCACGTAGTAGAGAAGTTCAACCAGATGAATGTCAACCCTGCTCAGTGCATTGCCGACCAGATAGTCTTGTCCGTGGCTTTTCAACACCTGGGGAACGTGAAGAATCAGGTCATGAACTCAGGGCAGTGAGGCTGCTCCTCCACTGGCGCCTAGAATCCAGCCTGACATTCTGGAATCCCTGCCTCACTAGATGAGAATTTAGGCTGAGACTGTCTCAGCACCTGACCAGTGAGCCACAGGTACGAGTGCTGGGTCCTTCCTGTTCTTTGTCCTCAGTTGTAGCCCAAACTTCCATTTCCTTTTCTATCCCACATCTCTATAGCAATAGCACCTGTTAACCAAAGCTAACAATTAAGTGGGTACCCCTCTCCCTGGCTCCAACTAAGGGTCCAAGCCTAGAGTCAGAACACAGCAGATCTGTTCCTCTGAAGAGGTTATTCCCAAGAAAATTGCTACCCTTGTGAAAAAAACAGCATTTGGAAGCTGCTGTCTCCACACAAATCAATCAACTTAAGAAATGTGACCTCATTCTGAAATTTGTGACACTGCTGAAACTCTCAGTTCCCAGTAATAAGATAAACTGGGTCAATTTTAACAAACCTCATTTTTCTTATTGCATAGAAAGCATCAGATAGATACATAAATGCCTAAGATTCTCTTTATCTCTATAGAAATCCTTGAAATGTTTCATGTAACCTTCACCAACTGCTTGGAATCTCTCAGCTACGCTCAGATCTCAGCTTTCCCAGAGCTATCTGAGGGCACCGCCTAGGCTGCAGCCATCACTTCTGACCCTTCACTAGTCACTCAATTTATTTTTAAAGATTTATTTATGCATACAAGAACTGGGGTACAAGCCAGAGGTGTGGGGAGGTGAGATGATTCACCAGAGACAGTTAGATTGACAAATACACTGCTGAGGGGAAACAGGGGGCGAGACAAGAGAGGTCTGCTGTGCCTTGTGGGTCAACTCCCTGGCTGGGGATCCAAGTCATGCTGCAAATAGCCTGATAGTGCTATCTTTAACCCCTGCACCACCAGGGGGCCGGAGCCAACACTGCTTGACTTGGCGCTTCCACTGAGAGTGACTTAGGCCATGTTCTCTGCGAATCTGCAAGCCTTAAGCCCCTTAGCAGACCTGGGGTTGCACAGCGGGACTGTCCCCTCTGCTGTCCCACCTCTCTCTTCCTGGTCAGTGACTCCACACAGCTCTCATGCATCCTGCACAGACTGTTCCAAAGTGGACTTTACTGTGGCCATCGCCTCACTTCCTAATCTATTATGCTGAGACCTGAGGTAAACCTGGGTGAACTCATCTCGCCTTCTCTCTAAAACACTGGCTCTGACTCCTAAGTTACACTTACGGACTACATGATGAATACTCTGGTGGTGACCTGCAACTGATGTCTGCAACTTGCTTAGCATTACATTTTTAAAAAGTTTGATTGCTAGAAAGTTGGATTAAGAAATGAGATATGATTAACAAAGGTAAAGGTCGATTTTGGTATCCACGTGTTGGGAAGATCTAAGTTCACTGTATTATTTTTTTCAACTTTTACTGGCATCTGATTTTCCTCCCAAAAGTTTGGGAAAATATGTGGCATTAAAATAGTCTATCAAGGGGCCTCCCTGGTGGCGCAGGGGTTAAAGACAGTGTATCAAGCTATTGCCAGCCACTACAGCACAAGACCCACCCCCCAGCTGGCCAAGAAACTGACCCACATGAAACAGCAGGCTTCTCCTGTCTAGCTTGCTGCTCCCCTCAGCAATGTATTTCAGTAGATCTGCTCCCCACTTTGTCTCTGGTGAATCCTCTGCCCACCACCCCTTCTTCCCTGCACCCCTCCCCCAGATCTCTGGCCTACACCCCAGATCTTGTATAAACAAACAAAAAACAAATAAATAAATCTCTTCAAAAAATAATCCATCCACATGGGAGTCATACAAAGAAAATATACTCACAGCACCAACAATAACATTTTGATAAATCCCTTTCAGATGTTTGGGCATATAGATGTGTGAGTAATTATTGGTAAAGATTGGTAAAGATAATAACATCAAAACCTATATTAGAATATATTTTTCATTTATTATTATTATGGGGATCTCTGACTTCTGAGTATAGATGAACTCGAAATGCAATGACTGAAGCACTTGTCGTGTGAATGTGTCTAGACTCTGACCCAACGCGGGCTAGGAAGTTGTTATTTTCTCACTAGTATTCATTTCTTTTCTCCTTAAATTGGAACTGACACCCTGCAATGAATTAGAATTTGTTGAATGAAATTACCTAATACTTGATAAGGAAGGGATAGCAGTATTATTACTTTCGTTTACAGGTAACACTCCTGAAATCTTTTGGCTCATATTTTTTAATTAACATGGCTTCATGCAGTTTTGATTTGGAGAAGCTGTTAACTTCAGAGAAAAACAAGGAAAATGTATTTCATACACGTAAAGGTGGCACTTCCTTAGTTTACCTGGCTTTCCAATAAAGTCTGAACATCCCCAAATCTGTAGATTTTATTTTTCACATCTTTTCATCTACCTCTTTCTCTCCACCCCTCTGCCGCCACATCTGGGACGCCGCCATGTTCTCCTGATGGGGCGGGCTCTCTGCCCGCGTGCCTGAACGTTTGCCAGCAGCAAGAGGACCCTGCCCTCTTGCATAAAGCCCCACACGCGGCCCTTGGGAGCTGCTCCAACCTCTTGTGGCTCTCAGTGCTTCCCCTGCCTGAGCTCTGACGCTGACCAGGAATCCCACTGCAGGGAGCAGCGGCCCCCCGACCCCCAACCTGGTACACCGCCCGGGCCCACGCAGGCGCGGGATACTGGCAGTCCTTCCCGCTGCTTCCCGTGGGCATGGCGCCACAGTCCCCACACACTGTGGGTCCAGGAAGTCGAAACCTTGCTAAATTATACCGTGGTACAATGAGAACAGACGGGCCTCATGCTCAATTTTGATAACATGCCTCGAGGCTCAGGTGCTGTGTGAATTAGGGTCCAGGAAGACTCAATGGAGGGAAGGGCAGGCCCGAGGGTGCCGAGGCATCACTTACCTTTCTCTAATCTCAGCACCCAAACACTGAAGAGCCCCCTTACCTTCTCAAAGGCAGGCAGATAGCGATTTGTTGTTCTCTCTTTGATCAGGGCCATCTTGGCATCTTTTTGATCAGGTGGACACAGCGGCATCACCATGATCATCTCACTCAAATCGGCCACACCTTCACCATACATATCAATCCTGAAGGAAGAAAATGACCAAACTGTCCAGTATCTCCTGTGTCTGACTTTATAAATTAAACAGGTAAAAGAATGAGGTAACAGGAGGTGACAAAATAATTCACCTCCATGGGGTGTATTTTTAGAAGCCAGATGTTCAGTTATTTTATATATATATATTATATATATATACATATATATTATATGTATATTTTATATATATTACATTTCTCTCTAGAACAAGATGCCGAGGTAGACATGTTCTGAAAGTCTGGTTATACATGAACTACCAATTTAGATAGGGGCAGAGAGCTTGGCTGACATGTGCAGAATCATGTGATAAGAGGCTGGAGTCCCGCGAGTCACCACTGATACTGAGCGGTTGCCTGCTCTGCTGTGGCTGCCTAAAGACCTGCTGTAGAATAATCTCCAGAGGGAGTCCTGAAGAGCCACTGCCTGGCCCCTCCCTCTTTCACTGGGTCACACCAGCCAAAGACCCCCCCCCTCATGGCAGTTCTTTCCATTATTTCCATAGAACATGGATCCACACCTCTGCAACTTTGACTTCATCAGTATTTCTCTCGTCAACCTAAAATACCCTCTGAAATGGAGCAATTTTTAAAAATAATATAATAGTTTATTTTTACAACATTTTGTGCCTTTTCCCATCTCATTTGTAATCTCTGTGGGCTTCCCATCACCAAATCACCCGCGTGCCATCACCTTAGTTCAGTGCACTTCACCCCCGCACCCCACTGTTTTTGATCCCATCCCCCACTACACCCCCGTAAAATGTCTCTGGTATATAGTTGTTCCTTATTATTATTATTATTATTTTCTCATCTGGTCTTTTATACTCCTGCTATGAGTGAAACCATCCGGTATTTTTCCTTTTTTTTCTGGCTTACCTCACTAAGCATGATCTTTTCCAGCTCCATCCATGTTGCTGCAAAAGACATGTGTCTATTTTTTGATTGTTGAGTAATATTTCATTGTGTATATGTACCACATCTTTTTAATCCAGTCATCTACTTTTGGGCATTTGGGCTGTTTCCATGTCTTTCCAATTGTAAATAAAGCAACAATAAACATGGGGGTGCAGGTGTCTTTTTGGGTAGATACCTAGGAGTGGGATTGCTGGGTCATATGGAAGCTGAAATGGAGCAATTTTTTAAATAGTTTTTTTTAATATTTATTTATGATTACAGAACTGGGGCACAGGTCAGAGGTGCGGTGGGTAAGAGGACTCACCAGAGACAGAGTAGGGAACAGAACAGGCAGATCCACTGAACTACACTGCTGAGAGGAGCCGCGGGCGGGTCAGGAGACGTCTGCCTCGCCATGTGGGTCATCTCCCTGGTCTGGGATCGAACTCGTGCTGCAGTGGCTTTGGAGAGCTTCATAATGCAGTGCTTTAACCCTTGCGCCACCAGGCAGAGCCCTTAAATAGTTTTAACCAGTGCATATTATGGAGACCATTTTCTTTTGTTCCAATGTGGATTTTCTACATACTTGTAAAAATACCAGCTATGTTGACCAGCTATGTTTGCATACCTTAATTGTCACATTAAAATGTACTTTTCAGGGCCTCCCTGGTGGTGCAAGAGGTTAAAGCACAGCACTGTGAAGCTATCTACAACCCAGCCAGCGGAGGTGACTCACATGGCACAGCAGACCTCTCCTGACCCGCCCCCTGACTCCCTCAGCATTATTTCAGTACATCTGCTTGTTCTACTCCCCACTCTGTCTCTGGTGAATCCTCTCACTCCCCACACTGCTGGCCTGCACCCTAGTTCTCGTATGCATAAATACATATATCATGTTTTAAAACGTACTATTCAGTAGTTTTTAGTACATTCTGAAACCACCACCACAATCCAATTCCAGAACATTTTATCATGTCCAAAATAAATCTTCTAGGTCCTTGAATGTCATCCCACATTTGCTCCCCACTCAAACCCCAAGTAACCACCTAACTACTCTTTGATGTATGGGTTTGACTGTCTGGAGAGTTCATACAATTGGAATTACATGTGGTCTTTCTGTCTGGTTTCTCTTGTTTAGCAAAATGTTTCATAGTTCACCCATGTGGTAGCATGCACCAATAATCCATTCTTCTTTGTGGGTAAATAATATTCCACTGCATGACTACAACAGCCCTTTTTCATTCATTCATCAGTTATGGGGCATTTCTGGTTCAGCCTCTTGAGTATTATGAGTAATGCTGTTATGGATATTGGTGTACAAGTTTTAGTGTGGATGCTTTTTTTTAATCTTTTGAGTGTATACCTAGTGATGGACTGTTGAGTCAGACTAATGTTTAACTTTTGGAATAATTGCCTATATATTTTAAGTGATTTAAATTGCAATCATGCAGTTCCCCCAAGATAGTTATACTGAGAATATCTAGCTGCTTCAGTCCTATTTCAAAATGTTCAATGTAATCCCAGTATCTTGAATTTCGGCCTTTACTAAGCCTCTTCAAGTAGCCAGAGCATCTAAATGGCTATTATGTGATGTCTGTTCATCGTTATTGAAATTACTAGAATTTGAGAATCAGCTCTGTGGGGTCTTTTTCTTCCAGCCCTCCAAAAAACTCAGATGCGTTGTCCCCTGTCTCTAGCTTTGGCTAGTTCCTAGCTTTTAAAAGCCTGAGTATCTAGGCCTAAACATTGCACAGCTCATCAGTCTTTAGAAACCTGTATCATTTGCTATGTCTAAGAATTGCATCCTGTAAAGCAGAGAGTTCTGAGGATGAAGGAGTCATACCCAGAATACCTGATGGAATCCCTCATCCTCAGAGCTCTCTGCTTTTTAGGACCTCACTCTGTTTCTCTAGGTTCTATATTGCTATGAGTCATCATCCCACTGCCATGGTCACACTCCCTTGAGGAAGGGCCTGAATTGTCCCTATTCATCATTGATCAAGTAACTAAAACACACGCGCACGCACACACACACACACACACACACACACACACAACTACCGTACAGGGCTCTCTCCTTTATGTCTTTCCCATAGAGGTTGTACTTGGAGGCAATGTAGTTGAGAATAGCTCTGGTCTGGACCAGCTTCATCCCATCAATTTCAACCATTGGCACTTGCTGGAACAACAAACTCCCATCTGTTGAAAGACAAAAAAAAAAAAAAAAAAAATAGAATGACATGTTTATGGATCACATTATGTTAGAATGAAAATTGCGGGCATAAGTGAAGCTATGATGAAACTAAAGTTCCTGGTAATGTTTTAATAAGATACACTTGTTTTTACCTTCCTATAGTTTTTCTTTTTGTATCAAACAACCATTTACTTTTCAATTAATTATTTCATTTGCCTTTTGATCTCTCATCCAAATGCATGATTAGTCCTTTGTAATTTCGTGATTTAGCTCCATGCATATTTTAGAAGTTGGAGAGACTGAAATAGGGCCTCCAGCCAGAAGCCCTCTCAAATGGGCAATTCCCAAAACAAGTCTCATGGAATCATCTCATGTAGGCATGTTTTGAAGCAAATGTCTAGGTAGGGAGCTCTATCCCTATTCTTCAAAGTCTGCAGTATTGTTAAGCTATTATTACTTTGCAACAACCTGTAAGGGAAGAGAGCTCAAGCACATGATGGGTCTCGTTCCTCTTTTTTCACTCTAATGCATGTGGCTGATCGTAGTAGACTGTGTCTGGGATCCTGAACTCATACAGCTCACTGAAGTTGCAGAAAAGCAGGAGCATGAAAACGAGGGCATTTCCCAACATTCTAGGAAAGATCCTTTAGCAAATAAGCAAGGTATTCTAGATTCTTCTACTCCTGAGTGAACTGTGAGACCTGTTCCAGGAGCCTCACCCTTAACTTTTGAACCCTTTCTCCTGTCCATCACCCTCAATCACCAGCATATACCCATAAAGGCAATGCCTAGGTTTAGAACCTCAACTTATGCCTTCTAGTAGACATTCTGATAAGAGGAATTTAGGTACATGTTCTTACCACTTTTTAACTTTTGCAGGTCTTCTGGAGATTTTATAAATTTTTCTTCAAACTGCAAAGCAGACACAGTAATTGTTATTTCATTGCTTAACACTATAGAACTTTGAACTTTGAATTGCCCCATCTGATACCTGAAAGAATCAGATATGAAAATACGATTTCTGCATTTGGCAGGGAACACAAAGTAGGATAAGCCTGGCTTATAAGGATGTTTAAATTAGACCCACTAAGAAAACAGCACAGATTACACAAGTGACTGTTCATTCTTGCAGGATCAATTAACTTCAGTGTTTTTGCCTGTAGTTGACGGGGGCTTGAGTGGGAGGGAATCACTGAAAGAAGGGGCTGGAATGTTCTAGTTATGGATTTTAATATCTTGGTAAGTCCTGACCTCCAGGACAGGACACTGCATGTCCACCAGTGTGGGGTTTACCATGGGACCAGTGCCATCTGACATACTGCTACTGGCTGCCACTGATATAATTACACTCCATTACATTTTATATTTCTAAAAGGATATTAACAGAAAACTTTTGGGATTACTCTACTTCTTGCTTGTTTAGTATAACAATTTATTGTGCATATATGATCATACAGGGTTAGTATAACAGATAGTGATGTGTGTGCAGAAATTATAAAGTGGCAGGGTGGCCAAGGTAGAATGGAGTTGGCTAGTATGATCTTGTCAGGCTATTGTAGATAATGAAATTGTGAGGGTCAGCCTTTGGCACAATGAACACAGAATTCCTCACCAAGAACCTCAGGTAATTCCTTAGCCAACTACCCTCTTCAGTCTAACCATGACTTCCAAAAGGAAGCCTGGGGTGCTCTATGCATTACCTCAACTTTACCTACCTGTGCTAAACTCATCCTGTTCATGGGCTCTGAACACATCCCTGAGCCCTAAACCTGAAGTCCCACTGCAGTGTAGGTTACTGGCTTATAAGAGGGAAAATTCTGGGCTTCCCTGGTGGTGCAGGGGCTAACGTCTCAGTGTTATCAAGCTATTGCCAGCCACCGCTGCATGAATTAAATCCGCCACCACTCAGGGAGCTGACCCACATAGCGCAGCAGACCTCTCCTGTCTCACCCACTGTTCCCCTTAGCAGTGTATGTCAGTACATCTGCCTGTTCTGCTCCCCACTCTGTCTCTGGTGAATCCTTTCACCCCCAGCACCTCTGGCCTACACCCCAGTTCTTGTATGCATAAACAAAATGAAATAAATCTTTAAACAAACAAACAAACAAAAAACAGAGGAAATAATCTGGAACGACACACTGAATTTGTATTTTTGTGTTCTTGGTTGTTCAAACAATTGAGAAATAACAGGGCTAAAGTCCATGAAGCACTTAGAAAATGTGATTGCAAGATTTTGATAAACAACTGGTTATGAAATTAAAGGGAGAAGACTAAACATAACCCTTGCAGGGTGCTGCCTCACCTGAAACCCACATTTGCTGCTCTCACTTGGGGGATAAGATCTAGGTTTTCCCTGGCGTTCCCAGGAAACCCTCCGAGTTCTGACGCCCTCTACTTAGAGACCTCTGGAGGGAGCTCTCTATCCAGACTGGGAAGTCTTTTTCTCGGTGATACCTCCAGAGGGCAGCACTCAACAGAGTCCTAACAGTTTTAACACTAAAATGATAGGGTGTCTTCCTGGAGGCCTCCACTTTGCTTTAAGTTACTTGTATGTATCTTCCCTTGCAGTAGCCACCTGAGGGAAGGAACATGTCGGTCGTGCTCATCCATGTATCCCGAGGCCGTAGCACTTAGCGCTACTCAACAAAGTCATGGCTGAGTGGTTGTATTATTATTTTAAACAGGCAGTTTGTTACAATCTGTTCCTCCCGTTATTTCTAGCTGCATCTTACCCTAATTATATTTATATTCTAATATTATACATTTTTATCCTTTGATTGGACATTTTTATCAGGCATAAAGTCACAATGATCCTTTTTATACTCTTTACCCAATTTCAAAGAATTACCAGCAAAAGCCAATTGCCTAGGTTATCAATATACCCACCCACTCTTCCTACCAAATTGAAGTAAATTCTTACTATTTCACCCTTAAATATTTCATGTACATTTCTAACACATGGGAATTATATTGAAAATAAGTACCAAAATATACCTAAAAATTAACAATAATTATCTAACATTTAATTAAGTTTCTGATGATTGTGTGTGTCATGAATGAAACTTAGTTTGTTGAGCTCTAAATCCCATTAAGGAGCATGCATTATGACTATTGGCTATTTCTTTCACTTCCTTTCTTTTTAACTGTTCTTAAAATCTTCTATGGGTAAAATTACTTAAATTTTCATTTGGTGAAAAAGTACATTTCTTTCTATATGGATTTTTGAAAAGATTTATTTATTTATGCATACAAGAACTGCCAGAGGTGCAGGGTTGAAGGTAAGAAAATTCACCAGAGATAGAGTAGGGAGCAGAACAGGCAGATGGACTGAAATACATTGTGGAGGAAGGGAGCAATGGTGGAGACAGGAGAGGTGTGTTGCACCATGTGGGTCCCCTCCCTGGCTAGCTGGGCATCGAACTTATGCTCTGGTAGCTGGCAATAGCCTGATAGCACTGTCTTTAATCCCTGCACCACCAGGGAGGCCCTATATGGATATGTTTTATTTAAGACAAACCATTCCCAGCCTCTAACTTAAAGTGACCTCTCTCAGGACCCACCTCCACTCCAGCCGCAGCCAGCAGCCACCGGATGCACTCCATTCTGCCCCGGCCATTGAAATAGTGGAGCTTGGGCTTCCCCGCCATGATGGGTCTTTCTCTGTTTCTCTAAACCTGAATAAATGAGATCACAGAGGCAAACATTATCATGCACATTCAAACAGAAGGTGTGGTATCTGCCTTTTTCAATGCAGAGCAGGAGTCCCTTGAGACGTTTCGAGGTCCCAGTCTCACTTGCCTGCAGCGAACATCACAAAATTGCACCAAACCACTCTCTGCTTGCCATTTATACTCACTCCATGGACTTAGAGAAGCATGGGGCCACACGACCCAAGAACCTGGGAGCCCCTTGGGGGCTTGAAGATACAGGATTTCACTGTCAGGGAGGAGGAGGGAGCAGCCAGCCTTCAGCTCATCTGGCTGTCTTGCTGCACTGTGCACAAGCATTTCCTGGAGCTGACCGCCTTCTCTGTTTCCAAAACCTTCTAAATTTTCTCCCCATGTGAGGGTGTTCATTCCTTTTTTTTTTTTTTCCTGTTGGAATTCTCTTTATTTCCTCTGCTGGATAAATTTTGTTCTGCAATGGAGACTAGGGGATGTCTGTGAACTCCATGGATAGCATGTGGAAAGGAACAATGTGTAGTGTCTACCCCATCATGGAAATTACCTAACTTTTTACCCTCACTGCATTGTCATAAGGATTACTTGAGATAGATTCTATGTGCCTGTACATATGTGAGAGTGTATATTCCATGTAATAAAATACATTTGATTAGGACCAGCCAAAGAAGTTTGACAGTAATTAGTTAATCTGTCCTAAGGTTCCTTGACAGTCCTGCCATTTGGGGCTGGGTAAGGCAGCATGGACTCTGGAGAGCATTTATTAGTAAATCTCTGGCTTCTACTCACCACCTGCCAATACTGGCACACCCCACCCTTCGCCATAACAACCAAACACCACAGGAAAATCACCCTTGGCTAAGAACTACTGTTCTATTCTCAGCTCCTGGAGACCTCAGCACATAGATGGCAGGAGACAGAGCCCTTGGTGGGTTTAAGTCTAGTCAGAAAAAGCAGGGCTGGCAACAACTGACAGCTTACAAGGGGCCCAGTAGAGACTTCCTTTCATTGGTTTTGATCCAACTATCATGACCCTTTTAGCCACAT